AATAAATAAAATTAAAGTGTCTGTTTGTAATGTCAAAATAACAGCTATTTACTAAATGCATAGTATAAACGGTACTTATAACAAAAACACAATTGTTAAAATTTTTGTCTGTCTGTTTGTTCCAGCTAATCTCCTAAAATGGCAGGACCGATTTTGATAGGACTTTCACTGACAGCCGATGTTATAGGAGTAGGAGTAACTTAGGCTACTTTTATTTTAGAAAAATAATTAGGGTTCTGCGTAGAAAAAAAAAACCAATACCCATGAAATCCAATCGTAATAAATTAAGTCGCGGGGAGCAACTAGTAAGATATACATACATATACTGCAAAGTTGTGTCTTTCTGTTTGAATAATAAGAAGTGTTAGGTTAGGTAGGTTGCTCAACGACAGTAACATTTCCCATGAATTTTGTTCATTGTTTGCGTAATGTTTCGAATAAAAAAAACACTAAAGCGCTTCTGGCGATTGTCCATAAGGAAAACATTTGAGAATGGGAGTATGGAAAGGCCTTTTTAAACGTATACATATACAGCTATACCTACTCCATAGTATTTCTCAATCACAAACGCTGGCATAGGTTACATGAGCAATTATTCTATGAAATATATTGTCGGTAGTTCTGCTCGCGGGTTGAGATTAGTCATAAATTTTGAGGCGTACATTATTATGAGTCACGTAAAGATCCGCTCGTACTAATTTTAATAAACGATTGCATAAAGATGATATCTGTACAGGAAAGGTTTTAAATTATTCATTAATGACGTACATCACGATTTGTTTAAACAATGAGGTTGTATCCAGTTAAAGAGGGCAACCGTGAATTTTTCTGCCACCAGGGCGTGGTAACTGGATGCTGTGGCTCATAGACATCTACATTTGTTCTCAGTTAAGAATGAAAATGTTGATGTGTTGTTATACCTAAGGATTGAGATGAAATGCTTCGTTTCCAGTAAAAAGGGTCTCTGGTTCTCTCTACACTCATCATACAAAACATATCAACATTAAGCTGTTATTCTGTGAGAGTGTGATCCCACCCCGGTCGAGCCGAGCCATTCGTGCTGGAAACAAATTATATTAAAAATAAATAAACCAAAACCACCGATATTCATAAAAGTAAAAAAAAAATATTTAAAGTTTCTCTTAAATTTTTTGCACATTTTTCTTAAAACTTTAAAACCAACTTCTAAATAAAATTCCGTGTGTAACAAAAAACTTCACCTCAGTGTCAAGTAGCGATATCTGGTGAGGGGAAAATTATTAGTTTATTAGCTTTGATTAGAGAGGAATACGGTTATTAAAATTGTGCTTATTTTTTTTTTCACTAAAGGCTATCCGGCACTAGAAATTTCCCATATACAGCGCAGGCGTTATACAAACATAAATGGATCATGGAAAAATATCCAGACCCAGAAATATAGCTTGTAGCCCATAAAAATAGAAGGAAAGAAAGGTAGAAACAACTATAGACACATGTATATTTGATAACGTAATTATTGCAGCAGAAACTAGGCACACGACTCAGCATTATGCTTCAGTGGGATGACCACAGCGCTGTTTAACCTTACCTAAAACTCATTATCATAACAAATGGTAAAATTAATAATTAAAAATTAAAAATTAAATATTTTGTACAACCGACTTCAATTTAAATTATTAAAAATAACTCAAAAACGATTGGTCAGACCTTGATCAAATTTATATGGGACTACATGAGAAGCATCGGCTTTCAAATAAAAAAATAAAAATCATCAAAGTTCGTTCACTTAGGAAAAGTTACACACACATAATAAAATACAGTCGAATTGAGAACCTCCTCCTGTATCTGATGTCGGTCGAAAACAACAAAGATTTAAGAATTTATAAATAGAAAAAAAAACCTGATAGTAAGACTAAAATTCGTTCTAAGCGTTGATAAACAAATAAAAATATTTTTTAAGAGTGAATTAATTTTTTAACTTGCTCAGAAATACTAGTGATGCTTAGAAACTTCACATCTGTAGTAAAGTCCTGATACTTACTATGTCACTTCATCACACCACGACTAGCGAATGCTGAGATAACATATTACATATATTAAAACTACACATACAGAACTCACTCTGATAAACGGAACTTAATATTCTTTATTACGTTTATTTAAAATTTTGTATAGCTTTACACGTGATAGTGCAACGCTGCACCAACATATATTATGATTGTGGCACGAATGGGTCGGCTGGGCCAAGGAAAGACCACACCCTCACAGAATACCAGTGTTAAATAGCAGCTTAATGCTGCAGTGTTATATATAAATGTAGATGTTTATGGACCACAGCATCTATTTACCATCGGGTGGGCTGTGTGCTTGTCACCTTTATACTATGAAAAAAGCTATGTGTGAGATTTTACAGCCGGGCACACAATACCACAGTTAAAAGTAACAATTTACATCCAAAAATTTTAATTTAATTTGCTGGTCTGGTCATTGCTGCTGGTGATAAGAGGGATGGTTCTTTTCTCGCTCAAAGGCTAAGTATAGCAATTCAGTGGGGAAACGCAGCCAGCGTTCTCGGCACGATACCGCGGGGAGTAGGACTATATGATAATTAAGTTTCTAGTTTTAATTTTTTTTTAAATTTTTATCTTAGTTTTTTAATTTTGGTTCCTATTAAACTAATATGTGTATTGATAAAAACAGTGGATATGCCGTTTTTATTCAGTTGTTGTCACTTCAGTATTGTAATTTAATTGAAAGTAACTAATGCCCTATTTACTTACTTACATAAGAAATATATGTTGTCCGAAGCGACGAAAACTTATCGAAGCATCTCTTTTCGGATTCTGCAAATTCCTCCACATGTAACGTTCATATGAGGCATGCCTTTTTTGATAAAAAGCGACATCTCATATCAGATGTACACCAGAAATTTATTTGTACGCTGTCTTTGTTACCGTAAAGGGATATACGCCGAAATATTAAACAGATTATGAACGATTGCGCTTCCTAAGATACTCAAAGAAAAAAAAACACACGTGCGCTGCCTGGTCGTGATCCTACGGTGAACCTCTATGCTTATTGTCGGGTAGATACAGACTATAAAACTCTTATGATAATAAAGTTTTCATAAATAATATTTTGTCTTTTGATGTAAGTTGATTTTTAAATAAATATTTTTATAAAAAACCATAAATCGTTCATAAGGAAAGAAGCTTTTTAATTTTATATTACGGAAGATAAACATATTTATATATTTAGTCTTAGGACAAACGTTTTATTAGTTAATATTAAATAATTAGTAATACCATTTGTAGTAATATCAAGTAGTACCACTGACAACTTTTGCCAATGTTAGTGTCTGAGAATATTACGATAGATGAATATTAATTAAAATGATAGGTACATTATAACGTGACAATGTAATGTACGTAAAATATTTTATACCATTTACGAGTACGATAAACGAAGACACGTTCTATTTAATGTGAAAACAAACTATTATACGATTATGAAACTCATATAATACAAGATTTTCTTAGGTAAGATAACTACATTATTCTTATAGCCGTGTAAGTTTATACTGTGGCCCACAGACATTTATCCTTGATTAAAAATCAAAATGTAGATGCGTTGTAAGCACTAAGGTAATGCTTCGTTAGGTATTATTAAAAAGGGCATCCGGATCTCTATAAACACCATAACCTGGAAAGTAATAAAGTATCCCCTCGAGCTTAGTAGTAACAGAAGCCGAAAACAATCTCCAATTTACCGGTTGCGGTGCTTATGCCAAAATAAGAAGAGGTCATGTGGGGTTCGTGAGTGAAATGCTGGCTGGTAGCGCCGCAAGCTAGCGATCGCTTTCCCACCGACAACTGCCTCGTACTCTTTATGTAAAGGAATAATTACGAACTTACAGTATATTTAACTCATGTTATAGCTTTTAAATATTTTTGGTAACAATTATACAAATTATACGGCGTCTGCTATTAAATGTGACAGTCCTCTGTAATTTGGCAACTAATTGATTTTAACGGTATTCAACGGTAATCAACGGTATTCAAGTAATAAAGTGGTCATGTTATATTGTGTTTCAAATAAAAAGTAACAATTGTAAAGAATAGTTCATTGTAACGACTCTAATAAAGTTCAAATAAAGTTTTTCCTGATCGATCATTATATATCTAAACGTTTTAAAATTAGCCCAACACGAACAAGTCCTTCGATCCCACATTTCGTGTCGAGATTGCTACGTAATGTTGTCATGATGTTTCGCATTTTCCCAGTCCGAGGCTTCAGCCTACCGTCGCGCTACCTGTTCATTCACTCGTGAGCACGTGGTGGGGGATACGCGCGCCTTCCGCGTAATGTTATCAGTAGTTTCACCAACCCCTCGACAGCGCAGTTGCCAAACGCACCCGCTCCTGGTCGCACGTACATTGACACATCTAGTAGCTCTAATTCTATACAATTTTTATAAAAAACTATCGCGTCGAAGTGCTTCCGCTGTTGAGTCTTAGTACTATAGAATTAGGTACGCATTTTAGATATCAGTGTTAATGTAATAAATTGAAGTGAAAGTGTAATGTTGTAGGTAGTATACAACCGCTTTTGGGTCAAACATATCTGTTGTAATCGACTCTTCGAAGGTGCGTATATAATAATGTTATTAAGTAAATCCGTACGTGTTAATTAAACATCGTGATCGGCTTCGTTATATGGCGGCTCCTATATTTGTAAAATTATTGACGTACATTAACATAAACGTTTGATGGAACTTAGGTATTATACTTATAAATACGGTCATAAATCAATATTATAGCTTGGTAAAATATATAAGCAACTTTGTTACTATAAATTATCAATATACATAGATATTTTATATGTAATAGGTATTATTACAATGCTGTTTTTTTATTTGTTAATAACGTAAGATCTTACATAAAAAGTTGAATGACATGTTACCTTTTCTGTCATAGGCTTTCAAGCCCTGCACGTCGCGCAAGCACCATAGACCAGACAAAATGTTCGCCGTGATGCAAATCGACGAGGATCATACACGGGATTTCAGGCGTAAACTGCGCCCCAAGTGTGAATTCGTCTGCAAGTACTGCCAGCGCAGATTCACCAAGTCCTACAACTTGATGATACACGAGCGCACCCACAAGAGCCCGGAGCTGACCTTCAGCTGCGAGGTCTGTGGGAAAAGTTTCAAGCGGCAGGATAACTTGCGTCAACACAGGTAAGTTAATAATTTGCACATACTAAGAGTACTATGGGAGTAATTTCGAAAGGTGTTTCAAATAAATAAATAAAAAATCAACCGTGTACGATATAATGATAAAATAGTAACTAATTTTGTTCCATAGTAATAATTTAGGTAAATTTCTTCGAAGAGACTGTCGAATAGAGAAACAGGCGGTGAACGCGAGTTTAAGAGTTCTAAATCTAAAGATTGACAATGCACTTTTTTATTTGTATTAACATCAATTACTTGAAGTTCGTATTAAAAAGGAAGCCATTGTCATAATTAACCTAAAGGGTTTATTGCTGGTCATTGGCCTCTCGCAAGATAAAGGAATTTGTGGACTTGCATTCGACAGTTGTTGGTTTTATTTCATGTACTTAAATATGATATATATAAGATCCTTAGCACTATATACCAATGTATATAGTACTGGTGCAACAATCTTCAGTCAACTTGCACTGCAATTTTTCCTACAAATGGGAGGTATCTCCAACTATGGGCTGAGGACAGAGATGATGAAATATTTAATGTAAATATTTTAAAATTATTACGACCTCTGGCTTACAGCTACATGTCAATAATTATATTTACAATTTTATAATATATTATAAAACAAGAAAGGTTTTAATTATTACTTTTATTAATAGACTTTAAAACGCGCTAATTAATAAAAACTGGCAACAATCGCGTGAAAGAAAACAATCTTAGTTCTCACGGGTGACAACGTATCTGCATCTTGAGTCTTTATTGAGGATTGATGTACTTAGATGTCTATGGGTCACAGTAACCACTTACCATCAGGTGGAATGTGTGCTCGTTTGTCACCCTATCCTATAAAAAAAAGGTGAAATAGTCTGTTTACGATAGGATTTGGGTCCCGCAAAAACCAATAAAATTCTGTAGTTTTGTGTGGTAAACGTCTCGTGTCTCGAAGTCGTGGGTCTTTGGTTTTGGCCAAAAATGTACCTGATATAATTTTAAATATAAAATAAATAATAAATCAATAAAAATGAAATAACGTTATTGTGTATGCGTAGTTTTATATCAGACTTTGAAGTGCATAATACAAGTTATTGATTACCGAATTTTAAAGTTTACTTGGTGGTGGTACCTAGGAATTCTTCTAGGTAGGTTTGTCCCTTTTATCTATTTATGCCGCCAACAGCAGTGCCTGCGTTCCAGTCTGAAGGGTATCGACAGTACCTACATTCTCTGGCTGTGAGGCATTATCTCTTGGTTCTAGGAGGCGAAAACGCATTTGTAGTCTTTTTTGTCCACTTAATAGTATCTGTGGTCTGTGAGTTTGTTGCCAATAATCTATACAAATAAATAAAAATGAAGTCTGTTTGTAATGTAAAAATATCAGCTTTTTACTAAATGCTTATGAAAGTATAATATTAGATACTGCTCCGTGGCTTAACAATGAGTTGTTGCGCTAGGGGCCGCGGGTTTGAATCCCGCACGGAATAAGTAGGTATTTGTATGGCCTACAAATAATTGTTCCGGGTTCACGATGTTTGTCTTCGTGCAATTTATGTTTGTAAATTGCCTTCACTATACAGGAGAAAATCCTAGTGCGAGGATAACTTTTTTTTTAATAACATAAAAAAAAAACTACAAAAAATCAATTATTAAACATTTTTGCCGGTCTGTCTGGTCTGTCTGTCTATCGATCAGTCAGTCTGTCTGTCTGTTTGTTTGTTACGGCTAAACTCCGAAAAGGCTGGACCAAGTTTGAAGGGACCTTAACTAGCAGATAGCTGATGTTATAAAGAGTAACTTAGGATACTCTTTGTTTAGAAAATGAATCAGGCTTCCGCGTAAAAAATTAAAACCCATGAAATCCAATCGTAATAAATTCCACGCGGACAAAATCACGGGGAACAGCTAGTACTATATAAAAAAATATATTTTGTTAGTATTGATAAGTCATTTGCGATGTTCATGGGTACTTAATGATGTGATTACAGAAATCTGGGCTTCCGAAATATACCTAGATATATTTTTACTACATGCATTACAAGGATAGGTAAAGATGTACATATGAACATCCGTTGAAAGAGTATGTGGAAACTTAGATGCGGTAAATTGTGAGATATATTTCGATACCTACTGTTGGCGACACGAGAACTATCACGATGCATTCTGACTCTAAAACCGTTTACCCAGATCCAGAAACGATACGCCGACTACTGAGCAACCCACCCGTTTTTTCATAATCCTAAGAAATCCTTAAGGTCCATTATTCCATAGTATTTTTACACGATATTTACATGTGCATATCTGTACACATAATATCAGAGGACATACTGTCGTTAAAAGAGATTGACTGTATCTCTTTTAACGACAGTATGTCCTCTGATATTATGAAGTATCGGACATGAAGAATAGTAAAAGAGATCTAGTCCTTTATATAATTGTGTTAGAGCTTTAGAAAAAAATATTAACATTTGATCTAGTCTAGGATTTGGTTCAGCACTTTTCGCTATTCAAAAAGCATACTAATTCATATGTATCTCTACAAAAAGTGTAATGAAATTAAAAAAATAAGTTTTGTACAACCGAATTCAATATAAATAAAATGATAACATCATCAATGTAGTCGAAGTCAATTAAATACGTATTATTAAGGATATCTCAAAAACTAGTGGTCAGATCTTGATCATAATTATATGGGACCACATGAGAAGCACCACAGCTTTTAAATAAAAAATAATCGTCAAAATCGACATCTAGCAAAAAGTTCTGAGGATAAAAATAATACAGTCGAATTGAGACCTATTCCTATTTAAGTGTGTTAAAAAGAGGTCTATACCCTCTTTCAATATTTTGTGTTTCTTAAATATTTGGGTCATTTTGTTTTTTTATAGGATTCGTTGACAAACGAGCACACTGTCCACCTGATGGTAAGTGGTTGCTGTGACCCATAGACATCCACATTTATCCTCAATAAAGAATCAAAATGCAGATGCGTCGTCACCCGTGAGAACTACGATAAGGAATGCCTCTTTTCCAGTAAAATGGGTCTCCGGTTCTCTACACTCACTATACGAAACACAGCTGTGTTAAGCTGCTATTTTACGCTGGTATTCTGTGAGAGCGTGGTCCTTCCCCGGTCGAGCCGACCCATTCGTGCTACAACTATACTACTGATATAGCTGCAGCATGGCTCTACCACGTAAACAATTTAATTATTTACGTCGTAGAGCAATGCTGCAGCTATATTGTGTTAAATAATAGCTGATAACGACTAATATACTAATTATGTGATAGGTTTTTTAGGTTTGTGTATTTAATTTACTTCAATCTCTTTTTCTACAGTCTTCAAACAGGACTACTCAATTCGAATGTACGTTTTTTTTGTGTGTTATCTCATAACTCTTTCTGGGTGAACCGATTTCGATGATTCTTTTTTTATTTGAAAGCTGGTGCTTCACCACTCCACCAATACTTTTTTGATTTATTCTTAACAATTTATATGGAAGTCGGTTGTAAAAATTTATAATTTTAAATTGTAAAGCATTTATAAGAAGAAACATAACGACGTTCATTAATGTTTATTAATTATTTTTCATAAGAAAATTATGGCTCATGCACCCTTTGTAATCTTTAATCAGCATGGCAATTAAGTTGCCAAATAACTTTTGTGGTTATGTTTGTACAGTCAACTGCAGATCAAGTGTTAATAAAGTATGCAAATATAATCCTTACGATATTGACATAAAAGCACTGGTTGAGTTTGATTTGCAAACGAATTCGTCTGCAGTTAACTCCGAACAAAGAAGACTGGGGTTGCGAATACCACCAAGTTTATTCCTTACCATAAAAAGGGCCATCAAGCAAATGATAACCTTTTTCTTGCCAGTGTTATTATTGCCATGTGCATAATGTAAATTACCATTAAAATCGATGTAGCATAACGCCACTAGTCGACCTATATTGCGGTTACCAGCGTAGCCTATACTGACAAGGCCGTGGCTAGCCGACAGACTGAATTAGGGTCTCTGCAATCACAGGAGCACTCAACTGTGCTACTCCGGGGCACTTAATCATCAGCTACTACTGTTACAGAATCTTGCAGACCGCAAGACGATAAAAGACACGCAATAAAATATAGCAGATTGACGACTCCGTGGCGCAGTGGCTTAGCAATAGGTTACAGCGCTAAGGGCCGCGGGTTCGAATCCCGCACGGAACAAGTATTTGTATGGCCTACAAATAATTGTTCCGGGCCTGTTTGTAAACCGCAACCACGATACGGGAGAAAATACTAGTGAGGAGGTAATTTAAAAAAAAGATATAGCAGATTCAGTTTTAGAGTTATTTTAATACCTTCTTATAAATATTTTTTTAATCTATCAACTAGGTAGCGCTGTTTTAAAGAAGGGCCGCGAGTTGAAATCGCGCATATAACTAAAAATTTATTGTCTACAAAAAATTATCTTGGGTCTGTATGTTTCTCCATGTAAAATTTGTGGGTTTTTGGAGGGCAAAGTTGACTGATAATATAGTCATTATGCCAAAATCGCTTACTCAATAACTTCAGCAGTGAAAATGTAAAAGATTTGTTAGAAATTTTATGAGATGACTTTTCCACTCCTCATATATAATATGTTGACAATGTAATTAGTCAATCAAAATAGAACAATTTTAATTGTAGTCAAGACTATTTTAAAAGCGTTTGTACTATAGAACTTATATATTTTGTAGACTAAAGACTTGACTACATCAAATCCCTACGACATTGAGCGATTGAGCTGTAAATATAAACGATCCAAGCAATTAAACGGCCCATGTTTACTCTCTTATCTATATTGTGGTTTTAGATCGCGCAATTTATTGTCAAACACACATTGTCGATTACTGGCAACGTAAAAAAGGCCCGTAAAACCAGCAAGCTTAATTGCTGTCAACATCGTTCCAATTACGAGTTCATTAAACTTCTTAATTCAAAGGGGCAAGTGCACACCCGCGTGTCGCATGTCGCTGCGACA